CTCTTGGCGCGGGAACGTTGTTTACAATAGTGAGAAGACTAAAAGCGAATGTCCGGAGCTTTAACCGGATTGGTGGAAATGGAGGATTCACCTAGAGTAGTTGGAAAACCCTAATTCCAAACCGATAATGCAAATTAGCTTCAGGATCGTGAAGCAACAAATGGTGTGTGAATCAGGTATTTGTGACCGGCTGCCATGAGACTGTATCTCCTGACGTTGCTCCACTACCTTGTGGACCAGACCTTTAAGTCAAAGGCTCCCGGTGTGATTCCATAGGAAAACCACCTGCTTCTGTTTGGGCACTTAGGCAGTATCATAGCCCACACCCAAATCATGTGACTTATGTGGTGCATATGTATTCGGTACCCCTTTGTACCAATATTTATGTGCTCAAATAAATAAATAAATAAAGATTTTGTATTGAAATTCCGTTCGATGAAACGAATGTTAGTGACACTTATTTAATTGTTTTAGCTTAAAAACCATGAACTGTTTTGTTGAGCAAAGTCAACAAAAACTAATTTTTAAAAGGTCAGTATATAAAAGCAATGATGGATAGTGGCTAACAGTGGAATCCAGGACGAGAGTTTCGTCCTAGCCTCTATCCATCATTGCTTACAAAAAGCTTGTGAATTTAGGCAATATCGAGGCATACGCACACTATGTACATATGCGAATAACAGACTGATCACTTGCAATCTTAAACTTCAGTGGGAAGATACAAGCCAAACAATATCAAGTGAAGTCAGTATATATAACAGTAACCATGAAGTTCACTTAGTGTATAATTATGATCTAAGTTGACCGAATGAATTACACATAGATAATAAGTTTCAGAGTGTAATGTTGCATAAAATTAGGTGTTCCATCCTTATTAAAAACTAAAAAATGTATTTTGTAGATATTATAGATGATCACAAGTGTATTTATTACGAGATAGGATGCAGTTACAGTTGATGGATCAAACTATTGACATAAATTTTTACTTTAACCATCATGAAAACATCCAATTCAGAATAGTGAAGATTATGTTTTCCATGACAGCTTTTATGTCTAGTGAAAATACTAAAGAAAATGATTGATTCAAATTAGAAATGAACACTATTGCACTCTGGTAAGCGCAAGATACTCAACATCCATTGGCCGGATATCATCAGCAACAGCCTTTTGTGGGAGAGAACAAATCAGCTTCCAGCTGAAGAAGAAATTAGGAAAAGACCATGGAAATGGATAGGACATGCATTACGCAAATCGTCAAACTGCATCACGAGGCAAGCCCTAACTTGGAATCCTGAGGGGAAGCGAAAAAGAGGAAGGCAAAAGAACACATTGCATCGGATAATAGAAGCAGATATGAAAAGGATGAATTACAACTGGACGGAGCTAGAAAGGATTGCCCAGGACAGGGTTGGATGGAGAATGCTGGTGTGCGGCCTATGTTCCTTCACGAGGAGTAACAGGCGTCAGTAAGTAAGTAAGTAAGTAAGTAAGTAAGTAAGTAAGTAAGTAAGTAAGTAAGTAAGTAAGTAAGTAAGTAAGTAAGTAAGTAAGTAAGTAAGTAAGTAAGTAAGTAAGTAAGTAAGTAAGTAAGTAAGTAAGTAAGTAAGTAAGTAAGTAAGTAAGTAAGTAAGTAAGTAAGTAAGTAAGTAAGTAAGTAAGTAAGTAAGTAAGTAAGTAAGTAAGTAAGTAAGTAAGTAAGTAAGTAAGTAAGTAAGTAAGTAAGTAAGTAAGTAAGTAAGTAAGTAAGTAAGTAAGTAAGTAAGTAAGTAAGTAAGTAAGTAAGTAAGTAAGTAAGTAAGTAAGTAAGTAAGTAAGTAAGTAAGTAAGTAAGTAAGTAAGTAAGTAAGTAAGTAAGTAAGTAAGTAAGTAGTAAGTAAGTAAGTAAGTAAGTAAGTAAGTAAGTAAGTAAGTAAGTAAGTAAGTAAGTAAGTAAGTAAGTAAGTAAGTAAGTAAGTAAGTAAGTAAGTAAGTAAGTAAGTAAGTAAGTAAGTAAGTAAGTAAGTAAGTAAGTAAGTAAGTAAGTAAAAGTAAGTAAGTAAGTAAGTAAGTAAGTAAGTAAGTAAGTAAGTAAGTAAGTAAGTAAGTAAGTAAGTAAGTAAGTAAGTAAGTAAGTAAGTAAGTAAGTAAGTAAGTAAGTAAGTAAGTAAGTAAGTAAGTAAGTAAGTAAGTAAGTAAGTAAGTAAGTAAGTAAGTAAGTAAGTAAGTAAGTAAGTAAGTAAGTAAGTAAGTAAGTAAGTAAGTAAGTAAGTAAGTAAGTAAGTAAGTAAGTAACTATTGCACTCTGAACAAATGGTCAAGAGTTTAAGAGCAGAAAAAGTGATCGAATATCATAGGTTCAATTTACAGTAGGATCATTAAAAGCCACTACTAAGGACTATTGTGCTTGGTACAAAACAAGATCTTGGTGTTTTCTAGTTTTCAATAGTTTTCTAACTATAATTATTCCGTAAAGGAGATTGTGAGGATTTAAGCAGTTAAATGGATCATTATGTATTGTCTTACTCCGTAATTCTTTTATCGAGCCACATATACGTTTATTACATTATAAAGAAACGGAATTTTATCGGTCTTATTACATTCCCAATCACACGTAGCCTTGCAAAATTCATCTCGCCCCATAAAACCTACTGAGTGATACTAAGTTCAAAAGTAATCATGCAAAACGTTGTGCGTGTTTTGAATAAGTAACGCTTTGCCAGAATATAATATCTGAAAAGTCAAACTAGAAGCAATGAAATACCCAAATTCCTATCTAAACACATATAGTGTAAATAACAAAAAAATTTAATATTGATTTATAACATTTTAGTCGACTCCCTTTATTCGTAATGCAGAAAGGTGTTGCTAAGCACTTCATGCGAATGATTTAAGTTAGATAATGAAGACAACTGGTCACAATACTATAAAAATATTGAAATCAGATAATCTATGTGATAATTAATGGATTAACCAAGCGGTAGAAATCTTTCTTGGTCACATTTTACCTACTGATTAAATAATCAGTAGTAAAAAAACCAATTACTTTTTTGGCAATGTCGAACGAATCTGTTTACGAAGGTCCATATTCATAACTTGTATTAATTCATTCTTCTTATTTAAG